AAAAATAGCAACTTCCTCTAAATGAGAAAATATCAGCCAAATGAATTACATATCTCTGCATTAACTTTAGGCTACATTAAGGATGACTAGTTTGAACTCAATACATCCCTGGACAGAAAACCTTAAAATACACAAACATACTGAGATTGGGATGAGACGTTTCAACTGCATTGAAATGGTGTGGTGAGTGGTGGCACACAAAGTTAAGGCCCTTAGGAAGGAAAGAAGCTGCAATGAGAGAAGAGCAAGCTGCTTGAGAAAACCCTGCAAAGGTTAAAAAGGCAGTAGAAACTATTTGTAGAGTTTATGTGGGGTAGAAAGCTCCAGGTGAAATCAAACCATGCCCAATTGCTGAGCTAGCAGAGGTCTCAATACCTCAGTAAGAGCAATAAAAACATTCAGAGCTAAAGAAAAGCAGAATCCGCTGGCAAAGGTAAGAGAGGATTTGTAGTATTTTTTCCCAATTAAATTTGAATCTCATTCCTTCTGGCTTCTTCTAAAGACGTTGCAATTTTTATCACCCTCAAAGTGGAGCCTTCTGGCCAAGCAGGGCTTCACCCCACACCTTAAAATCACCTTACATGGCAGGGCGGCACAACAGTGACATGAGCTGTCTCAAAGGAAGAGATTATTAAAACCACACACCTACACAAACACTGCTGGTGACAGTGTTTCAAGGCATTTATTCTGGAGTAGCATGTGGGACCGACTTCTTGAACAAATTCTCAAAAAAGTATAAGGCGGAAACAAGAACCAAAAGCAAAACATCTTTTAAGCTAAGGAAATTGTTGTAAGCTTTCAATGTTTTACTTTGAAAATCCTACAGCCTAGAGCAAAATCCTTGGAAAATATCCTTGTGTTTATGAAATAGCATTTGATATCACAACCAAAACATCTACAAACCAGTGCAACCAACCCTTTCTTAACTCTCGAAGGGCAAATAACACCTACATTTCCCATGCAACGGCTAGTAAAGAAATGCTGACTCTCGGTAATTTTAATTACAGACTAAAATAACACCTTAGTGAAAAATAGTAAATGAAGTTATTTTAGAGTTTCAATGTTGCCCCATCAACCTGAGCCATAACAGGAGCAAAACAATGAGTGCACAAACACAAGAGCTCCACAGATGTAAAAAAAAAATTATTTTATGTATGTTATGTTGTGCTTGTCATGTATACCTGAGACTATTTAAATAATTTGTTTGGTTGTATATGTAACCAAAACAAAAAAGTATTTCCATAACAGGATTTTGTTTTGTTTTTATATGTCAAGTCTACAGAAGTTAATTTCTGTACTTAATGCTATAACGTAGCTAAAGTTAAAATACAGCATGATAACATATTGTCTGAGATCACTGTTTTGTCTGTGTCAGAGAATACTACACCTTCAGAATTGTAAATTAGCATAATAATATGACTTTTGGTAAGAGGAAAAAATATGTTTTTTCATTGTTCTTATTCCAATCTGTTGCTTTAAATTTGCAATCACTTTTGATCATTTCTCTAAGGCAGAGAAATGCAAAAGCCCTAAAAGTTCTTTTTTAAGGCCAGAGCCCTAAAAGCTTTGGATCATTATCATTTGCTGAGATAATTTACCAAGAAATAAGGGTAGGTGGGGAGGGAGGAGAGGGAAACAGGGGTTGAATAGCTTGCAGCATGAAGAGCGGACAAATCAACAGAAATTGAGATATTGCAGAGTGACCTACCAAGCTCTCTGATCGGCCCTGAAGTTAGCACTTAGGACTGACAGACTCTCAAAGTATTTTAAATATTTCCACTTAGACTCCTATGTATTTGTATCAATGAAAGTTTACACATGAAAGATTAAGCCAAAAAGGCTGGCTTAGTTATATATGTCTGCCTATTGATTTGATTAGCATGAAATTACCAAAACAGAATCAAAGCAAAAGAATCACCTAGACCTGTGAAGCAGAACCGAAAGACTTGTTGCTTTATACATCTGCTTTTCCTGCAACTGCATCTACTGAGTAGAGTATTCCTGCAATAAGTTACAAGAAAAAACAGTGTTTGTGGGCCCTGAGAAAAAAAACCAGTTTGTTCCAATAATAAATCACATAGTCCTTAATAATAATTTTTAAATGTCTGAAGTAAAAACGGTCTTGTTCTTCTTTTATTGCAAAATCTTGTCCTGAAATAGTTTTCTCATAATAAAGAGTTTATAAGAAAGACAGTCACTGGAATTAAAATTAAAGTTAATAATATATAAACATAGGTATAAACCCTCAAAGCAACAGGTTTATAGGAAATCCAGAAAGTTAACTAATGGCAGAAGTTTGAGACATGAGATGGCAAAGAGTAGAGGAAAAGTCCTTGACGAAATAAATTGTTTTAAGAGTAACAACAACCTTGCAAGAATTCTACTAATTTTAAGATCCTCATACCCTGTTTAGGGGCACAGAAACAGGTTTTCATAGGGGGCCACAAAGAGACAAGTTAATAACCCAGTTTCACATAATTCTGCAAGACTTACTGAGCTCAGAGAGATTCTGCCCACACAGAGCTGAAAGGTTTAGTACGTAAGAGCTGCCTTCTGACGGCACTGGGAGATTACCTCTCATCAACTCCAGAGTGAACTCCAGCTCTCACAACAATGATCTTTTACAGAAGATTCCTCAGCAGTGAGAAGGACAAATGTGATTGCGGCACATTTTAGACTCTCAGCACAAGGAAGTGAATATCAAATTTAAAAAGCACCTATTACTTTTTATCTGTGTAAGTCATTCTGCTAAGTGGTGATATAAATAAAATTACATGTACAATCTTGCTTCTATCTTCTCTTTAAATGTATATACATGGTTTCTTTCCCCTTACATTCCCTGGGTTAAATTAGCAGAAGAGGAGTGTGATAAATTGAAGCTGAACTATAAATGGGTGTTTTGGAAGGGGGAAAAGGTTTCCGCTTGTTCTAAATGTGTAAACTTTTAAAAATATTGCAATTTTAAATCCTGGAAAAGTGCCATCCAATATTCACGACTGGCAGACAGTGCTTATTACCTTTTTTATATGCTATTACAAAACTTCTTGATTTTTAACATTAGCCTGACTATTCCTAAGAGTCTCCAATTAAAGATGTAACAATAGGAGACTACAGCCATTTCTTTTTCATGCCATAAGTTCATTATTTCTATTTCCTGTTTCACTCAAGTGTTTCTTTTAAAGTTTTGAAACTTTGATGAACTCCACAGTTGAAACCAAACATAAATCCCATGCAAGCTAATGGGACAAATGAAACTCCCAAGTTTATCGACAGCAGTAGATACCACTTCTTCCCAAGCCATATATAATTAAGAGTAATGAAAAATTCCTGGTTAGTCATTATAAAAACAGGCTCCTTACCATAATCTGTAAAGCACAGTCAGGTCCAAGTTGTTTTGTTCAACCACCACACCAACTGTTCCTTCTTTTCAGTGACTTATTTAAAAAAAAGAAAAAGACTCACTTTGCCAGTTATAGCTGGGGGAAAAACTCCCAAGAGCTTTCAGGCTTCATTAATTAGGGCCATCAGAACTGTACTTCATTTGAGCAGTACAAAACAGTGCAATCAAGAGTTACGTCCCGGGCCGTAGCTATCTGCCCCTCTCTCATTCTCTCCTTCTTTCTCTCACCATCTCTCTCAGTAAATGAGACTAATTTTTCCAGCAGCCTTTGACTCCCCAGATTAACTGAAGTGGAAAATGTGACTACAAACTCATAGCACTGTCTAGCCTCCAACCCAGCACAGAATCAACTTCGTTGTGCTGAAGGACACCTAGCAAGCTGCTGCTTGCTAAGTTCATAACCCAGAAGTGTACATTCGCACACAACAGGACTGCGCCATCTAGTTAGCTGCCAGCAGCAGGCTTTGGGAGCAGATGCCTCGGGATGCAGGGCTTTAGCCCTTGGGAATGTTCAGTTTCTTACAGATTCAATTGTGGTGTGGGGTTGTTTTAATAAAATATCACTACTGAGATAATCCACAGTGGATATGGGAAAATTTTGGCTATAATAGCGCAGCAAACTTCTACATCTATCTTTGATTTACAAGATAAAAGCAACTTTTAAATTAAAGAGCCTTTCTGCTAACAGAGCTTATTATGCCAGAGACAGGAATGATTTTCCTAGAAAGTTGTCCCTGTGTGCACGCCTATTATCTTTGCTTTCCCCCTTCCGCTAATGAGCATTTATCTAAAGAGCCTGCTAATCCTCTGATGTGTGCTTCTGGTCAGAGGTAACAGTTTGAATAAAACCACTAATCACTTATCACTAATCACTGATCATTAATCACACTTTTCCCTAGTGCTCTGCGACCTGTACAGCTCCCTTTAGAATTAAGGAGTCACAAATAAGGAGTTTAGCCATTTTTTATTAAGAATTTCCAGCTTTTGATACCGACAACCTCATTCGCCACATGAAAGTTACAAAACACTGAGCGGGGACTTTCACCACTGTACACTTTTATCCTGAAAATAAACGGTACCTTTACAGAAGCATGCCTCCTTCAGCAAAATTCCCACAAATTACCCTACGCTTTTGCATTCGGCTCTCACTTTCTACCTCTCAATTTTCTTTCAGACGAGTTTCCGGGTTATCCCTGCATATATCTTACAAGAAAGTTTTCCTACATCACTGCTCCTTGACTCACTGCTGCTTGTCCAAATGGCCAGACGAGGAAAGTCTGGTGCACACCAGCGGGTGAATCTCTAAAAAACTTCAGTCTCAAGAAAAGCCCAAGATGCTTCACAGTAATTATCATCCTTCTGTTCAAGTTTCAATTTCATCTAGCTAAGCACTGTTTCTTACTGATAATATATGGAAATCTTCTAATCTTGCCACTTAAGTCACTTCTTATATCAGTCTGGATTTAGAAAAAGAAAAAAAGAAAAACTAAACAACATATGGACATTTCATTTTCTTTATTTCTACCCCCATCTCTGAAACTACCTCTCTCTTTCCAATTATAAAGCTTACATTGAGCCCTGGAGATGAAGGATCACTCACCATGCTCGGACATAAATAATAGAGGAGGCAGAGTTTAGCAAGTATTCCCCTTACACTCCTGCAGCTCTTATCGTCCTGAAAACTTCGCTGGGGAGAGAGAGACCCCTGTAAGAGAGGACAGTAGCGGGGGGACGCGGAGCTGGGGGCGGAGGGAATGATGAGCGGAGTAGAGAGGCTGTAAAGCGAGAGGAGGGCTGCAGAGAAGGGACCTTGTCAACACTCGCCCCCTCCCCGCACCCGAGGGCATCAGAAGCGGAGCATCAGCCCCGCACCGGCCCGCAGCATGACGTAAGGGCCGGCAGCAGCCCGACACCCGGGGTATCTCACGGGGAAAGCGGCCGCGCACCACCCCGCGCACCGCTCCGCGGCCACAGCCTGCTGCTCCCGGCTCTCAGGGAAGCGCGGCCGCCGCCGCGAAACTTATGCAGAAGTTTTGGGGGCGGCGGGGAGAGAGGATGGCGGGGCAGCGCGCCGCCGAGCTGTCACCGCCGGGTGCCGCCGGGTTACGCTGAGGCTGGAGCCGTCCAGCCCGCCGTGAGCGCGGGGACTCCGCGGTCGCTCAGCCGGGAGCTGCCCACCCGCTCGCTCCGCTCGGGGCAGCACCAGCGGAGTGCTGCTTGCGCTCCGTGGCAGCCGCCCCATCTCATCCCATCCCATCCCATCCCATCCCATCCCATCCCGTCGCGGGAAGCAGCGCGCAGACTTCCCAAACTCCCTGAAGTGCGGACGGGGAGTCCGGCTTCCCCGCGTCTCGGCGACCGTGCGCTGCCGCCCCCGCCGCCCTGCCCTGCCCTGCGCTACCCTCCGCGGGACTCGGGGTCGCTCACGCCCCTCTCCCCCGAGCACGGCGGGGACGCGGGAGCGGCGGGACCCCGCGCCCGCGACGGAGACCGGCGCTGCCGCCTCCGGAGCAGATGCGGTGGCGGAGGGAAGAGCCCCTGCAGCCGCAGGCTGCCCCTTCCCAGCCGCGCACCCGGCGCTGCTGCGCTGCTGCGCTGGGCTCCGTGCGGGGCGCGCTGCGGGGTGCGCCGCGCGCCGCGCCGGGCGCCTTCCCGGGGCAGCCCCGTATTTTTAGGAACTTACCGCCCGGCGCGGCGGGGACGGGACCGGCAGCGCGGCCGGAGGAACCACGTTGGACTGAGGGACGGTTACAATACGTTCTATTTAGAGAAGCATTACATCACCCTCCGTGACGTCACGTGGGATTCCTGAACTTCTAAATCATTGCGGTCCGTGCCGGGAGGGGGGGGCGGCCGGGAGCGCGGGGCGGGGGCGCGGCCTCGGGCGGACCCGCCCCGCGGGGTCGGGGCGGAGCGGGGCTGACTCAGCCGGGAAGGGCGGCCCGCCCCCCGCGTCCCGGGCGGCCGCGGGCTCCGGCACCGGCGCCCGGGCGGGACGGGGCGCAGCCGGGCCGGGCGGGGGCTGCCGGGGGAAACCGGTGCGTGTGCGTGCCGAGCTCCGGCAGGCGCGGAGCCTCTGCTGAGTGACAGCCGCAGGAGGACTCGGGTCCTGCAGCCCCGAACTCTTTCGAGTATTTTTGTTTGCCTGAGTTTCTTCATCTAGAAAGTGTTTAAGGAGTAGCGCGGTGCCCGAGAAGGGAGGGAAGCTCCGTCTCGAGCCGCAGCCCTGCGAGGCTGCGCCGCTGTTCACCTGCTCAGGTGCGCCCGGTGTCCGCCCCGCAGGGTTTGATGCCGCGGCGGAGCCCCAGTGGCGCTGGAGCAGCGCTGTCACAAAGAATCTTAACTGACAGAATCGAATGTCTCATTGCTTTTTGAACATTTAAACATTCTGTGTCTATTTGGCAGTGTCTCTGAGTCGTCGCCTGGGACGCTTGCGGATGACAAAGTTACTGTTCCACCCTGTAACTACGTCAGCGCCTCCTTTTCTGTTTTTTTTTACTCTCAGCCTAATGCTCCTCAGTGGTTCTTCTAGCACCTGGGTCTGGAGGTTCCTTTGGCACCTTACTCCACACTGCAGTTATACAGGAGGGATTTGTATCAAAGATACACGATTGAACTGGATTTAGCAGCTGATTCATGCCAGGAGGTATGACTTAATTCTGATGCAGTGTTTTAGCACCTAAGCCTGGAGTGTCTCATGAGGAAATCTCAGTGTTTCGAGGGTCTCAGAATCTGCAGTGGCTTGGTCAGTTTGGTTTTTCTCCGATATTCCATTAAGAGAGGAGTAATACAACACGTACTGCCAAAATTGGGAACTACTTTACAAATGGCAATAATACAGCACTTTACTCCTAACAATAGCATTCTTTCACAGGTTTATATTAGGCTGTCTGATTATCATCTTCAGCTTTTAACAATCCACTGGCACATTATGCAGGATTTAAGCAGATAGAAGCAAATCCTATCAGTGACTGATGATAGGTTTTGAACTCATTTAACTCCTTAGGATAAAGCTCAATGATGCTGTCACTGTAAGCCTTCGTTTTGTCAGGTATTATCTTTGGAAACTGCATATCAAGTGCAAAGTGCTTTAACTCTAAACGTCCTGGAATTATAAACTACACAGATGACTAAATTAATAATTGCAGTTATTTCTGTCTCACAGGAAGGGTTTTAGCACACACAAACACAGCAGTTTTTAAGGCCATGACAAAAAGATTGAAGTGCAGGAAACAGCTCTGCATCTCTCATTGAGGTTTCATCGTACAATTTATATACTCACACTTCTCACAGACATGCAGCTGGCACTGTGGCTGATCGATGGGTTTTCCTGGGATTGCAGTGAGATTTTTCTCCAGTTTTCTCAATGAGATCAAACTGTAAACGGCAATGGAGAATTCAGGTGCCAGTCGAGGACAACAGGGCCCAAATACGCCAGCAACCTCTGTAGTAAGACTCAGTTATGGGAAAAAAAAGATCCTAAAAGCAAGATGAACAGGACCTCCATTTTTTTCAGATCAATTGTTTTACTTGCCATATACATATTTGGACAGATCTCTACCACTTAAACAGACAGGCAGCTTGTGGCAGCCGTCTGTGTGTGTCTGCCCCACAGAGGGTGGTGACAAATACTTTGACAGGTGTTTACCTTGGTTTTCACTGACAGCAGAGCCAGAGAGGTTTTGGGTTCCTGATATGAGTCTCAGGGCCCGAGGAAAGACTCCTGAAATGAGTTGGAGTCCTGGGGGGGAGAATGACATAATAATGTCAACGGCTCCTCTGAGGTTGAAATCTGCTGCAATATGTGTCACGTATTATTGCTTTCCCCCATGCCCAACTTCTATTTCAGTTGCCACCCTCAGATCCTTTTGCTCTCCTCCCTCTTCCAGCTCTTTACTTATCTATTTCCGTTTTTCTTTTGCCTGTTACCAATCTTCTCTCTGTTCTATGGCGACCACTCTGATCTCTGAATGGGGATGTGAAAAGGAGCATTGAGATGCAGCTTTGTTTTGTTCTATGCTCACTTTAATCCCTGGTGGTTGAGCGGTTCACAGAGAAGAAAATGTGTTGATGCCTTCAGCCTGAGAACGCTGAGCAGAGAAGGGACATTGAGAAAATGTAATTGCCAAGTTCTTTCTTGATTTAAACTGTGGGATGTTGATAGTAAAAGAGACACTCCTCTGCCTCCAAAGTTGCCGCTTTCAAGTTGAGCTGATGTCTGCTTGTGTGCTGTCAGTGTGAAGAACAGCTCTTTAATATGAACTCCTCTAAAGGTGGTTTGAATTAGCATATTCCACTCAGCAAATGAGGAATGTACGCAGAGCCAGCTCCAGCTCAGCTGACAAACCGTAATTTGAGAACAGGCTCAATACAGGGGACAAATTTGAACAAATCTTAGAGGCTAATCAAAGGCACCTCCTGGAACAGCAAAATTATCATTCTGCAGAACTTCAGGTTCCTGCTCAAAAACCACTATATATTAAAAAAAAAATACAGCAAAAAAACCCAAAACACCAAACAAGAAACACCAGCTTGTGAAATACAGGTTAATGTTCCTACTTCCTTTTTATGGAATATTGTTCAGGAGTGATTGAATTTTGGAAGCAGCTTTCCAAAATACTCCTTCCTAGAGCAGGAAAACTCCATACTGAATAGTTCAAAACTTGGCAATATTTTTAAGAGATTGAAGAAACTTGTAATGAAAAGTACTGAGCAATCAACTCCACGAGGCACTACCTGTTTTTTCATAAACTAATTAAAGGTACAAAGTCACACACTGCTTTTCTGTTTTTATACTCAGGCTTTTATAAACCTGCTTTCTTCTTATGGCAAAATCCCAACTTATATGCTTTTCTGTATTGTATATTCTAACAAATGTTTAATATACAGGTTTTTTTTCAGTTTTAGTCTTTAAGTATAAAACCTGAAAATAACACATTCTTTACAACAATTTACATAGTTTAATGGGTATTAAAACTACTCAGACATTTGAAGTTAAATGAGTTAGAATGACATTTTGTTTGACTGATAGTAAATGACAGTAGTGCTGCTTCAGCAAACACCTAAAATCTTTGTCATATCATTAAAATCATTGGGAAATAAAGATATTAAAATAATTATAGGAGTTTTGTATGTCAAATATCAGTCTCAGCAAATCCCTGTTGCTGTCACGTAAAATGAGTATTTACTGCTGGTAGAGTTGAATATTTTACATACCCATTCTTTCTATAACATCATTAACCACATGTTTAACTAAGCTGCTGCCAGTGTCGAGAGCTACTCTCAGCTCTGGCACTTGCAATTATCTTGTTACAAGTACTTTGCAGCAATATCTTTTAGTCTAATCGAACAGTAATTTATTCACCTCCTTATGTGCTACTAAAACTTCAGATCTCTCCATTTATCATGTGAAACTATCCACAAAAAAAAAGTAGTTCAGCACTAGTTACACAGAAGTGAAGCCTAAGAAATAAAATGGTAAGAGGAAAAATTGATTTCTAGATCTTAACATATACTTTAATCCATGATGATAGTAAAATGCATTTTAAAAGGAGGTACAAATTATGCTATTTAATATATGATAATCCTAGTGATATCCTGAACAAGTGTAATTCTGGTGTTTTTATTAAATGCTCAATTTCTTAATTATTACATCTTTGTTCAGACCTCACATCTCCTTATTTTAGTAACAGACTGAATGGCATATCAGTGAAGGGAACCAAGTATTCTCTATGGTTTCAGGAGCTTACTAGGAAGTACCAGATTAGTCTTAAAGCTGAGACAGAAACTGGTGAATAAGT